ATACTATGTTCCACAAACCTACATGTTACCACACAGTTTTCCTGTAGAGCTGGGTATTATTTTTTTCAGCAGTGTGAGAAATAGAATCCTAGTTTTTGTACCAATACCAAATCAATACATTTTTAAACCTTACTTTGTTGAGTGTATACACATTTTTCTACATATAAGTATGTCTAACAATCAGCATAAACCTGTCAAATGCAGTGTTTAGTGTCAAAAACTGCTGTGCAAGAACTTTGTCCAAATACTCTTTAAAAGCAAAGGAGCTATATACGACATTCAGAGTATGAATATATCTGCAAATAACTAATTTCTATGTAAAGGTATAGCGGTGTTCTGTGAAGAAAATGATATCATGCTTTCTCTATTCGTGTTGTAATCTGAGCTTCTCTGTTCTTTGTTAAGGTAGCTGGTCCAGACGCACATACATTTTAGTGCAGGGGCTCTCAATCTTTTGTGACTTATGGCCCGCTTCTGATTGTTAAAGAAATTCTTAGGACGCCCTTTCCAAATAAATGAGTAAAAAAACATAACATGAGGAGAAAAAAAAAGCAACAAAATAAACTGGGCTGTTAATATGTGTTTTGCCGCTGTCAGCTGTTGTGTTGTTATGTGGTTGTTTACCTAGCTGGTTGCTTGGTTGGTCAAATCAGTGGTGAGGTGCACTAAAGATGCAGCTGAAACCTCAGACAACATTATAATCCTGATACTGATACTGAACTATTTTTTATGATTCATGACAGGAACTATCTCAACTGTTTTTGCTTCTTCCTGTAATGCTACCCCTCAAAGATACAATACAAATTGCTGAACTGATGCATCACTAGACACAGCCCTGCAGGGATCAAACAAAGAGGACATAACCTGATATATAGCATAACAAATACAACAAAGAGGATAACATGCCATCATAAAATTAAGGTTTACTCCAGCCTACTCAGTGATAACTGTCGTGCACGTCCTTGGGGTTCAGTCCAGGATAAGGAGAATTTGAAAAAGGAGACCTCAGGACCTCATGTACTCATTTACAGCAAAAGCAATTTAACAGACCTTGTTCAATGAACTTGCCAGAGCCCACAGATAACAATGACGTCACTGTTATTGATAAGTGTTATCACCAAAATCAATTATTGGCGTAACAAGGGTCACTGAATTACTGACCACAAGGTGCAATTTGTGCCAGCTTGAGTGTGGCACTTTTATGTGGCCTGCATCTATAGAAGACTTTGTTTCAACTGGTTCCTGCAACTTTGCAGAGAAAGAGAACATTTAAAGGAATATTACACCAAAAATGTTGCGAAAACCAAACCTTACGAGGTCAAAACATAGCTCTGCTTGCTCCTTCTCAGAGGACAGCCACTGTATTCACCCTGAAGTCACACTTTTCAGGTCAGTCTGTACTTAAACTCCATTATCTCACAACAAAAATGATGCATTTTCACAAATATCAGTGCAGACCTCAGTCTCACTGAGATGAGTGACAGTAAAGCAAGTTTCAGGTATCAGCTTACAGAATTGCACACGACACATAAAGAAATTAAAACCAATAGCTGCCAGAAACAAAAAGAAAAAATATCTTAAAATAGAGAAGCAGGGATTCAAAAATGGTCAGCAAAAATGTTTTGTTTACACAGTGGTGGACAGAGTACACAACTCCATTGATACTCTTGGTTAAATGTTACTCTAAATCAAGTGAAAGTTCCTGAGTCAAACTGTTACTTGAATTATCTCACACACATTGTTGTATATTGTTACAATACATTTACAGAACATAATGACTCTAAAACAACCCATTGAATACACTGACGTGCTTGTACTGTAGAGCCAAATCATAATTTGTAGGCAAGATTAATTCAACCTCTATAACACAGTATTGCTAGAAATGTGAAACAACTTGAGCATTATCTCAAAAACTTCAAACATGGACTTGAGGTATGGCCATGGACAGTGTTGGGGGCAAATTTATACACATCGCTCCACTTCCACCATTGCGCCACCAGAAAAAATATCCCATGAAGGTTGTTGTGTGTTGTCATGTCACTACCTTATTTATACAGTCTAGGGTCACTACAGACTACATCATAGAGGGGTGCCAGTGGTAGGCACATCTGGGTTATGCCGTACTGTGCGTTAACATGTTTGTCTCCATTAATATAACGGCATAAATTGTATCCTGTTCTGCTTTTTCATCCTAAGGCTGTTTGAAAGTAGTGGAGATAAGAAGCTAGCCTCCACTTTGTTGATCGGCATAGGTGATGTTAGTATTTGTTGGATGTGTTTCCATTCACATCCACTCTAACTGCAGAGCAACGCTGGCACACAGTCCCGTTCTTATGCATAACTCTCTCTCCGGTGCTGTTGTAGCTGACCAGCACACCAGGAACCAGCAGGTGGGTCTTCCAGCTCTGGTGTATTAATTTACGCTCATCCTAGTGACGTACTCACATGCCATTCCATTTGTTGTGCTAGCCTCAACATTTGTTTATTGCGTTTCATATCATAAGTCCACAAATATTTATCTATGTTACATAATTATCAGACTTTGATCCTCTGCCTTACCGTCACTGTGTCCAAGTATATTTGTTTGTTTTAAAAGGTCTAGGCTATTTACTTGTTCTACATCATCATGCAGTTATTAATGTAAGAAGGGTATTTTAATACAAAGTGGTAACCAGTGTATGTGAATGCATGAATGTGTCAGACCTGTGCAGCACTGGAGTTGAAATGGACTGTAATAAAGTGGAGCTTCTGTGCTTTGATTACCTGCTGTGAAACAACATGACCCTCATCCATTTAAAATCAACATTAGTTCTTCTGAGCTCATTTTGGTGAAAGTAATGCAAAAGTAGTCTAATAAGTAACTTATCATTCTACACTGGGAGTAATATTGTAATAAATAACTTAATAAACACTCCCAGATTCTGACTGATCTCCTCAGGTTTACATCATCACAGAAGATTTAAATTGTGCTTTGCCATTTTTTTTATTAAGGATATTTATACAAAAAAACTGTGATAAAGCAGAAGTGTCATTTAGAATCCAAAGAACAGTTTTCAAATTCAAAACCATGGACACAAAATCAACAAAGTAATAGATGAAACTGTAACTCTCTCTGTGCATCCTCTACCCTGCTCATCCATCATTCAGCCTCGAGGTGAAAGCTCATCACTTCAGCATGACATGTCCTTTGTCCTGCCAGTCTGTGTCTGTCAAGCATCATACACAACAACATATCATCATTACATTATTTTAGAGGATGCAGGGACGGTGTGGCATTGAGTTTCCTGATAAAATGCTGAAGGTGAAACTAAGTGGGTCACTTTAAATTGTAGATAGAATATCAGTGTCCCAGTCCAGTCCTTCCTGTTAAGGGAGTACAACAAGTTTCATACTTAAACTAGGGATGTCAGCAGTTGCTGTTTATCATTGAACCACAGAGAATGTTTTTGGCCGATTGCGCATGTCAGTCTAGTACATTTTGCTATTCTTCAGTTCACTGCACTGCACACAACCTGGGTCTAATGAGAGCTAGCTGGCAGTGCTGCTCATTAATAATAATAATAAACAATAATACATTGGATTTGTATAGCGCTTTTCAGGATACTCAAAGACGCTTTACAAAGAACAACAACAGCAAAAAAAAAAAGATAGAATAATCCTTAGGGAGGTAGAGAGGGAAATAATGCAAAAAGGGTGAGGTACACTTTAGGTACATTTTAGAGGTTGTAGGCAGTTTTGAAAAGGTGTCTTTTGAGGGTTTTCTTGAGGGTGGAAAGTGAGGGGGACTCTCTGATGTGTCCTTAGGGAGTGAGTTCCACAGGGTGGGAGCACCAATGGCAAATGGAAAAGGCCCTGTCCCCCACTTGCCGTGATTGGTCCTGGTGGGGGAGGGGGGGGGGGGGGGGGGGGGGGGGGGGGGGGGGGGGGGGGGGGGGGGGGGGGGGGGGGGGGGGGGGGGGGGGGGGGGGGGTGTTTGTGGCTCAAAAGTAAGTCGCTTGCTCACTGCTCTCTCTACCTGAGAGGAGACTGGAGGGTGACCACCATGTTTCCACAGCAACATCATCCCACCACTGTGATGGTAACAAGCTCCTACTCGACCTGGGTGGTGCACAGTGCAGAGTGGCCAAGGCTAATGTTAACTAACCAGTGGAGAATGGAGTGTGGGCACTGGGCACTATGTTTCTACATGTTAACAAAGCAAGCCCGCTGTCTTGTCTAAACCAGACCCCCAGGAGGTGTGCCAGGCTTTTTAAGCCATTTTCAGTAGTGGCCAAACAGTGGAATTACAACTTCTGAGTCTGTCACGTGATGTCATTTGGCCCCAAACAACTCTTTCCTGTAAACTTACATTGTGAAAGAGACATTTGTAAATCAGTGGATAAAGCCACATGATTTGATAATTTTATCCCCATTCAAGATAGTGGAGCGCTAAACCAAGAGTAGCTGGCTCAGCCCGCCAAAGTGTCTAAGTGCACCTGCTCTGTGGGGCCCAATGATGCAGAAGTAGTGCTGATCACCTGGGTCATTTTTTACACAGCAGTTGAACATTATTGAACAGGTTCCTGCCTCCAACACAGTATATAGTTTTCTTTCTATCAATGCTCTGCTCAAACTCTCTGAGTCAGTGGAGCACTGACTGAAGGAAATACATATATATATATATAAACATATGTATACAGCGGACTGACAGTTTTGTTTATATATTACATATATATACATATTTCAAGCTAAAAAAAATTTCACACTGATGAACTTTCTTCATTTTTCACTTTTACCTGTAATTCACCAAGCTTTTTTCTTACTAATTCATCAGGCATTGTATCCATCATTGTGTAAGTTGTAGGTCTACTTTCAGCGTTTCAGTGTTAGGTGAAGACACTTAGTGCTTAAATACTGTATCATGTGACTCATAGTAATACGAGATGTGAGACTCTGGTGACGTTACACTGTGTATACACTTTCTACCCTTCTGTCTCTGTCCCACAGTGTAAGGTGCCACACAATGGGAGACTCCCACAGGACAGACAGCACAAAGATGAACGCAGGAATAGCGGGTATAATTGGTGAGAAATTCCAAATGTTGCTCCTATGTTTCTATAGTTTTACTGTATTGGTTTTTGCTGTATATGTGATATGTGATATATCCGACTGTAATAACATAGGAGTTTTCCTTCTTGCAGTGGGTCTTCAGCTCTTTATTCAGATTGGTAAGCAACACATTTTAAAAACAGGAATGGGAATGTTTTAATTAAATTTCAGTACTGTACAGCAAAGCTTTTTCCCCTTCTCTTGATCCAGCAGCCACAGCCAAACTGGTATGTTATTTTACCAACTGGTCGCGATACAGAACTGGTGTGGGGAAATTCCTGCCAGAAAACATAGACCCCTTCCTCTGTACCCACCTGGTTTATGCCTTCGCCATCATCAACCATGCTAATGAGATCACCGAGTATGAGTGGAATGAGAAAAGCCTCTATAAATCATTCACTGAGCTCAAAAACAGGTAATAATTGGTTCATGTAGTATACCTGCATCGTGCACTGGGATTTTAAAATGTTGTGTCAGTTCGATCATCAAACCATCATTTTTCTTGTGTATCTGAACAGAAACCCCAGGCTGAAGACTTTACTGTCTGTCAGAGAAGGGGACGATGGATCTCAGTGAGTTGATTCTCTGTTGCTAATCCTTATGAAACTCCTCCATCTACTGAGAGGATGCAAGAATAGCTGCAGTGGAACGATTTCATTTGACTGTGTTGTCAAGTGGATAGTTTGGCATGGAAGAATGACTATTTTTCAGAGCAGCATTTTGACAGATATTGCTTTCTCAAGTCAGTGTGGGTAATTTTAAAAATGGAAATTAAATCTTATAGGATAAATCTGGAGTCTTGCAAGTACACATTACTTGCATGAATTACTTTTATTAGTAAAAGAATAACAGGTAGCAGTAGTAGTAGTAGTAGTAGTAGCAGTAGTGAAATACTGGTAGTAGTTGCACAGTTGTGAGTTTTTGTATCCCATGAGTTTCTGGAGGAGAATATTTGCTTAAAAGGATACTAAACCTGCAAAATGACCATTTACTTACCGTTTGTTCCGTTGAAGAAAACTTCCCACATTCCTCCACAGTGAAAGGAGAATAAAAAAAGAAAGTGAACATTCTTCATGATCAAAGTCATAAGGGACCACGTTTATCAGCCGCAAAACTTTGTCCAAACATCTGTTTGCAAACTCTCACACAACTTGTATATTATAATCCAGGTCTCATATATCCAGATACAGTGTAGTGTTAATTTTTTCATTCATGAAATTTTATATTCTATATGTTAATTTTTTATTTTTTTATCTAGGCTAATCCATGTAACAGAAATTAGAATCGAGGTGACAGGTTGTATAAAAATTCAATTTAGAATTCTACAACTACAAACAATTTCTGCACACTTACAAGCTTGCATCTCTCCAGCAGTTTTTGACTGGTTTAAGAGCTGCTTGCTCCACTGCCGTTTAGTGGCTAGCAAGCAGAGCTGCTAACAGCCACCGCTGCAACTGACAAACCAATCAGACACACACGCCTGCTTATTTACTGCTGAATTACAGCTCACAACTCGCAACAATGGCTAACGCTGCTCCAGCGTAAGTGTTTTTGCTGGCTAGCAAAACATCCTGGCGCAGACCTTTTTTCTGGAGTTTACCAGCCTGTTGCTAATGTGGCATTTGAAGATAAATGCATGCATGGACGTTCTCAGTTTTCAGTGTCTGATAGTCCACTACTAATATTTTCTTCATGCCTCATCAAAGAAAATAAAACATTGATTTCATCTTAGTTTTTATTATCAAGATCTATTTTTAGCTCGTCATCGTCTTGTTTTCGTCATCGTTTTTGTCAATGAAATTACCACTGGCTCGGTACTTCCCAAACACATGAATTTCCTCTAAAATGTTACAGTATAAAATGCTTCTGCCTACAAGTAGCCTGTCTTGAGCTTGCCTGAGCACACTCACACATATGAGCTCTGCTTGAGCAGAGGTACGTGATTGAGCTGTGCATGAGACTGTTTGCACTGACGTCTTTGTAATGTTTCAGGAAGTGTACAATTGGATGAATGAGACTTCTCTGTTCACCGGAGAGGCATGCACAAAAAACAAAGTTTTCTTTATGAGTTCAAGGTAGCACCCAGTGAGTAATTAATGTACAAATGATCATTTTGCAGGTGAAGTGTTCCTTTAAAGTGACTCTCTCTCATAGCGTGGTTGTTGCAGGAAGCTGTTCTCAAAGAAAATGCTGTAAAAACCCAATGTACACAACCTGCTCAGGAACAAGCAGCAGACAAATACAGCTGATGACCAGCTGGTGAACAAAGAGACAAATATTTTCCTCAGGATCTGGTGGAGATCAAAAACAGAGCTAACAGAGAGTGAATATTGGATTTACAATGATCAGGTGGACACAGATGCAACTGCAAATGACTGATTATGTAGCCCTGTAACTGCTGGATGTGTAAATGCAATTGTTTGACAAGTTCACCATATCAAATTAAAAGCTGCTGAGATGTTTGTGTAGTGTTCACTTCTTGTTTGTGTTGCCCCCAGTTGGCCAAAATAAGCCAGTTATTGCTTAATTAATCAACAATAAATATTTAAGTCAAAACTTAGAGTTAGTTTTAAATTTGAGGATTTGTTATTTTGTATTTAATATCTTTGGGATTTCTGAGTGTGATGAAGCAAAGTAAGCAATGTGCTTTTGGCTCTTGTAACGTTTGACATGTATTTGTTATTGTTTTGATATTGTACAGACAAAAAAAATCAATCACTTATTTGAAATCTACACAATCATTTTAATTATTGTTAGCTGCAGCCCTGCAATGGTCAAATGAAATCTAATTATGTCGTAATAAAATCTCAGTTGACATTAGCTTCAATCCAAATGTTTCAGTTTTCAATATACTTCACCTCATTATGGTATCAAACTGCCTCTTTAGATATCAACATCCACATCTACTGCAGGTTTTCCATCATGATGTCCACTCAAGCCAACCGTCAGACATTTATCCAGTCTACTATCAAATTCCTGAGGACTCATGGATTTAATGGTCTGGATCTGGACTGGGAGTACCCTGGATCTTATGAACGTCCTCCAGAGGACATACACAGGTTCACTCTGCTCTGCAAGGTACACTGGCTGAAGACTGGACACTTTTTCCTCTGAAATCTATGTGTTCAATTCCTGTTCTGCTTGAAGATTTCTTTGTGTCTTGTCAAAAATGTGGCTTATTTTTGTGGCTTCAATGTAATTATCGCTCTAAAAGTTAAAAAAAAAAAATAGAAAAAAAAACAACTCGACATTTGTTAGCCCCAAACTGTGCATTCTCACACTTGTGCGTTGATGGATACATTTGATTCACAGGAATGCTGTTTTCCTCAAAAAAGAAATAGAAATACAATTTTTAAGGGGATTGTTTAAAAAAACATATTATGTGTTGATACTTTTTGAAGTCTTTTTATATTGTCAATAGTCAGTGTTGGGCAAGCTACTTGGAAAATGTAGTGAGCTATGCCATAAAATACTCTACATCAAAATAAAGCTTCACTACATTGAAGCTATCCCTGGAGAAATGTAGCACGCTACGAGAAAATGGCAAAAGTAGCTTGCTACTTGCAAAGCTACATTGATTTTTTTTTTTTTAAACTTTATGTCAAATCAGCGTTATCTCAGTGATCACAAAAACTGTCAGTCAAACAAATAGGCAGGCAAGAAAATGTTTAGTTGGTCTGTTTATAACAGACTTAAATTAAAACTTTCTTTTTCTTTTTCTTTTTTTTTTTTGAAGACTCCAAAAACATGTTATTATCAGTCAACCTATTGCTCTCTCTCTCGCTTTCTCTCTCCTCTTCCTACTTAATGCATTTCCCTGTCTTGGCCTCTCTCAGTAGGCCATCTTACTATGTCAGTAATTCAAAAACAGAATTCCAATATGTTTCACTCAATAAAACCATAATAGATAAAAGACAGCTATATAAACAAAAACAAAAAAAACAACCTCATGAAAACTTCTTTTTTAGGGACATTAGAACATGAACATGTCCTGCAAATAATACGTGACATCATTATGTCACTCTCTCCCTGCTACTGTTCTCTGTCTCTCTGGCTCTTTTCTTGGCCCTTGTTGTGTCTATTTCTCTAGTGTCCCCTAGGGCTCGGCGATATGGACAAAAATTCATATGCCGGTATTTTCAGGCTAATTGGCGATATACAATATATATCCTGGTATTTTCTATGAAGTGGGCAACAGGTTCAGTTGCAAGCTGATCCACGGCTCAAGTCACCTGTTATTTTTCTGCATGTGTTTTTCCACAGCAGGGCAGGTAAAAATAGTTTTCCTGTTGGATGTGAGCTGTTTGCAGAGGTGCAGTAAGAGCCTGTTGTCTGCAGCTCTTCATCTAATATCTCACTGTGGCTGTTTCTGATTTTACTCTTCCTCCCTGCCGTAATATTACACTTGTCTTAATTGAAGAAAAGCCACTAAAAAAGTTCTGCTACTTCGGCATTCTTATTCTCTCTTCTTATTCTTAATATTTTAGCCTAACTCATACAGCCTAAATCATACAGAGTCTTAAAAATAATATCATTTTGAATTAATAAAAATATATTATTTTATAGTGCACCCAAAAAAGAAAATTCACCCATTATCTACTCATCCATATGCCGATGGAAGCTCAGGTGAAGTTTTAGAGTCCACACGACACTTGCTGAGATCCCTGGGGAGAGGCGGTAACAACAAAACTCCACCTAATGGTGCCCCAGATTCAAACTCTAAAAACACATAATTGAAACCACAATTATGTGTGTATGTGTGTGTGTAAACCTGGTGTTGAACCCTGTCGAAGACAAATTTCTGTTGCCTTTTGGTTCCAGACAATAAAGTTTTCTATTCTATTCTATTCTATTCTATCTCCACACTGCTCACATAACATAAAATGTTGTTCGGAAAAACATCATTTGAACTCTGTTTTTAGCCTCATTGTAGCCTGTAGCTCTAACTCTGTACACTGTGTTCATGTGTGTGCGCTTGCGTGAGACTGTGAGACATGAGCACTGCGTTCATGTGTGTTAACGTGCTTTCGCTGGTCTGGCGCGCAGGTGCGCACACGTGAATGGGTTGCACCATGGTTTAGTTACCTAACCAATGTTCTTGTCGTGGTAGCAACTTGTCAATGAATGGCACCAACCTGTCAGTCAAAGCAGCCATGCCATTAGCAACATTATAAAAGGTAAATGGTGAGTCATATAAAAATTCCCCCCTGTAGTCATGAACAGGGAAATTAACTCACAAGACTAAAACCGGTTTTTGCACCAGGCCATAAACGTGTTTATTTCTGCTGTTACATGGAGGTTGTGGGGACTGACTCACTTTTGGACATTAGTGAGCTGCAGTTTTAGGCACTTGTGTGTTGGTTGCCACTTGTTTGTGGTCATTTCAGTGAAGTATGAGGATCAACTTGAAGAAGCCTGACACTTTCTGAGTTAGATAATCCATCAGTGAGCACTGTCTCTAAATATTTTGGACACACACACACACACACACACACATACAAACAGACACAGATTATTGTTGTATGTTAATGCAGTGCAGACATTTCAATCACTTAAAACTGATTGCCACACATTTAACACATATGATGTTCAGTGTGATGGGTTATCTTACAAGTTTTAAGTTTCACTGGACTGAACCGGATAGGCCTACCAATAGCTGCCTGGAAGATGGGGAAAAAATCAGAAGTGGTTAGTTTTGTAAAACAAAATGTGATTTGCTGTTCTGAAGTGCATTTCACACCACTGACTGAAGCGTAAATACATTTCCATTGATTTCCAGGAGATTTCAGAGGCCTATGAAGCTGAGAGTAAAGGAAGCAGTAACACGCAGCTGTTCCTCTCTGCAGCCATGGCAGCACAAACAGATGCTACTGATACACAATACGAGCTCTCTGTGATGTCAGAGTAAGACTTAGATTTATGTCAGCTCCATTTTGAATACTTTTGACACCACATAATCAAATTATGCTTAAATTCAACCTATTTCTGTGTTTATGTGGGTGTGATTGTGTGTCTTTGTTTATGTTTAGGTACCTGGACTTCATCAGTGTTAAGACTTTCGATGCCAGTGGTGGTCAAGATAAAGTGACAGCCCACCACAGTTCACTCTACTCTGAAAACAATGCTAACGTGGTAAGTACCCAGTTTTATTTAGAAGCTATCGGTCATGTACAGGGCCAGTGAAAGGTTTGATATCATCATTTATAGAATTATTTATTGATTGAAATGTATCAACCTGAAATGTTGATGTGAATCCCTGTGTGTATCCCTCTGGTTAGCTAATGGCTGCCACTCTGCACTGCCCTCATATGGTGGTCACAGCTGATATCAGGACAGGGTAGCGCCATAGCAACCACCCTCCGGTCTTGCCCCCGTGTCAATAAACACGGTTACCTCTGTATGCACCGTTGTCATTGCTCGCGCTATAAGCACCATTAGCACTGTTTGCTGCTAGCCGCGCAGCCACCTCCATGTTGACAGCAGTGTGCAGACAACCTCTGATAGATACACTCTGAATATTGTACAGTGCCCCTTTAACAACTACAACCCAAGGAAGCTGAATTGTTTAATAGACATTTCTCACTACTCCTCCCTTTCTCTCCTGTCAGGATTATGTTATGCAGTTCTTGATGAAGCAAGGAGCCCCAGCAGGAAAGTTATTGCTGGGTTTTCCTTCTCATGCTCGTTCCTTCACACTCTCCACCACAGCAACAGGCCTGGGAGCCCCAATCAGTGGCCCTGCCAATCCGGGGCCCTTCACCCAGCAGATTGGTCTCTGGTCATACTATGAGGTAACAAGCAGACGTTTGAATAGACTGCATTTAGCACAGAAGTCTACGTAATCACACATAGTAACAATGCAAACTTTGACCATGGACCAGATGTTCTGCTATTACTGCAATCGCTAACCCTAGCATGACCACTGATACAACTACAACTTCTATATCTACTACTATCTGCTACCTACTACCCAATCCCACTGCCACTATTTCACAGTGTGTCTCAAACAAGATGTAGTGAAATGAGCTTACAGGGAGCCTGAAATACAAATTTTAACCCTTAGATGCATGACCTACCAATACCTACACTCTTCCAGAAGTGGGGTCAAAAATGACCCCAATTAGAATCAATGCGTTTTATGTGATAAACTTAAGCAATTTCTTTCATTTTGGTTAAAGATGATGATTTCTATTATATTTTGGTCAACAAAAGAATGATTTCATGTTTGACATGTTCATTTATCACTTTTTATTGAATAATCAATAATAGTATAATAGGCTACCTAACGGGTTAGATTTTATTACAAGGAAGCTATAAATATCATAGTAAGTCTGCTTATCTCTACACAACAAATGCAGTAATGTTAGCTAGCTTACTAGCTAACCACAGACTCACACACACACACACACACACACACACACACACACACACACACACATTTACAAGGAAGCTTTAAATATCATAGTAAGGCTGCTTATCTCTACACAACAAATGTAGTAATATTAGCTAGCTAACATTGCAGTACTAACATTACATAGTAGTTAGCTAACTAGTACCTACATTGTAGGGGAACAGCCCATTGGTCCGACATCCCATTGTTCCGACCATATTAAACTCATTGTTCCGAAGTCTGTTCCGAAATCATCATGATGCCCTGTGGTTAAGGTCTGGTTAGGTTTAGGCACACAAACCACTTGGTTAGGGTCAGGAAAAGATCATGGTGTGGGTTAAAATGAAAAAGAAAGTGACAAACACATAAGCCGTGATCCTGCTTCGCCTCAAGCCGGTCGCGGCGCACCATACGCCCGCCGTGAGCCGTTCAGCACCGCGGACAGTCGGACTAATGGGATGTCGAACCAATGGGCTGTCGAACCAATGACATGGACCCCATTGTAGTTAGCTAACACTAACTACAATGGGGTTAGCTAACTACTAGCTAACTAGTTAGCTAGTGTTAGCTAACTACAAAGTAGGCTAATTTGATGACAATAATACTATACTTTATCGCACAAAAGTCATGGATGTGGAAAATAAGTTCATATTTTATATTATACAACAGTTAGTTCCAACCGAGTAATCTGATTGGACGAGAGGCATTCCGTGAGTGTTGATATAGAGTATAACATCACTGGGACATGTAACAGTAAAATCACTCCGCTCACAGGTGTTATAAATATAAATACAACCGTTAATTAACCAACTCTCACACTCGCTACATTGACGCAAACTGACACTATAGCGTTACACCAAGAAGATGGATATTTTCCCCAAAATTACATTTGAATTAAATTCATTTAAATTCACGGCTGTAACTGTCTTCGTCACAGCCGTGACAGTATACAGTACAACATCACTCCCTCTCATGTGATATTGCTTAAACGTCATATGTATTCCAAGATATAAAACGAATTTAATACTACATGTATGTTGCTGTATAAAAATCCTGGGTGGTGAGACTGTTGGCATTAGATGTGTAAGTGCGACAGTAAATGTATACCTGACAGTCACAGTTGATAAGAATCAAAGACTCCTAGGTCTAACCCTTGATATTCCATAGGAAATGCTTGGGGTCATTTTTGACCCCAGTTATGGAAGAGTGGGGTAGTGATACAAAAACAACAATTTCTTAAAATGTATATAACATTTTTTTTAAATGCAAATGGCCTCATGTCAAAAACATGTTTTATGAGGAATACCTGGAATATGAAATGATAAAAACTTTTAATTCCATAGATATTGAAGAAAAACAACCCATTAATCAAGAGGAAGAGAGGTATGTTTGGAGGGTATGTTATGTCAGTCTTCTCTTTGATGAACAATAGAATAAACTCAGTGAGTCTCAAACGTCCTTACTTGTCTATCACAACACAAATCTGATGTGCCTGGTGCAGGTGACTGTATAAAGAAATCTGTTGCCAGCTCAACAGTCTGAAGCCTGGGGTATTTCCTCACAGGGATTACGTTTACATATGTTTACCTCATTATTTGAAATTTTGGCCACGTTTAAAATGACTGTAACATAATATATTTGACAGAAAATAAAGAAAATGATAGGTTCCCTTTAATCTCTGGACAGCCAGAGCCTCTTCACATAAAGCATACAAGCAAGTGTGGTCTCTGAGGCCTCTCAGAATACAAAACCATGACAGTACGCCAGTCATATATTCCTTTATGTCTAATACATTTCTACCACAGTATGTTTGTCATGGTGAGTGTTGCCCGCTGGTTCCAGTTCAGATCAGACTTCCTCTTTATTACCCAAACTTGGATTTTATGGCTTCACTTAGTGGGCTGGTGCCAAACAGCAGAGGTGGGGAAACTCGAATCACATGACTTGACTCAAGTCAGACAAGTTGCCAATTTGATTAGCACTGATAAAAGTCTCATCTTTAGTTTCACTTTGTGAATCCAGTCCTTCATCCCTTTATTCAGAAAGCTGTCAGTGATGTCATTTAAGGAGACATGCATATTTCTCTGCAGTCTGTCATGCTGACATATTTTCCACTGCTTGCTTTCATTAACTTGTAGACTTTTTTCCCACAAAAAGGACGAGAAGAGAGAAAATCCATCAGGCATGACAAATGAACAACTGTGCCTTTTCTTAAAACATAGGAGCATGATTGGACTCTTTGAGGGTTGTAAAAATACAGTATAAATGTAAAGTTTTGATCATTCAAAGAAATCAGTTTTTGAGTTATTTATTATGCGCATGTCCTTATAGGCCCGAGGGTACCATATCGCCTGCAGTTCAAACTGTGTCCCCGGTGCAACTATTATTACCATTACTAATGCTGCTGTGCTGCAGCTGTTCTAGTATTAGTGATACCATTACTACAGCCTCTTCCGCTATTACCACAAGTGCTGCTAGTACCACTCCAGCTTCATCAGCATGAACACAACACCTTTTTTCTAACTGTGACAAACACCACTCTGCTCTTATGTTTCTTTACCAGACGTGCTCCTTCCTGAGAGGCACCTCAGTGCACTGGATTGATGGTCAGAAAGTTCCCTACGCTGTCAAAGGCAGTCAGTGGGTCGGCTTTGATAACCAGAGGAGTTATAATGCCAAGGTTCAGTACATGACTGTTGTGGAAAAACGCACATATTTCAACAAGTCTCTCTACATGTGAGTTTTATTGTGTAACGTCTGACTGTCTCACAGGTGGACTATCTGAAGAGCAAGCGGCTGGGAGGAGCTGCTGTGTGGACTCTGGATATGGATGACTTTTCTGGACAGTTCTGTGAACAGGGCAAATATCCACTGATATCACAATTAAAACATAAACTCAGTGAAGGTGAGGCTATGGCACTTTACATTTTCTTTACTCGTTATAATTCGTTATAATTCAGTTCTATGACATGCAGACATTTGGAGGGATCGTGGCTCACAGGTCCAGGTTTTTATTTCTCTCTTGTCCCATTAATCACCATATTACTCTACTTTATATTATGACCATAAGACTGGAAACCACTGTTTTAAAGGATCCTGTAGCATCCTACAAAAGCTATCTGCTTTGGCCAGCTGACAAAAGAAGGCTCCTCCTCACACCACTAGAAATAATCATCATCTCATCTAGAATCACTGATTACTTTAAGGTTCTGTATGCAACATTCAGAGCATTATTATAGCAGCAAACCACTGTTTGCTATGTAAAGATATAGTGGAGTGATGGAGTCCTGAGCTGAGAATGAAGTCACGCTGTGTGTGTTGTAATTCAAGTTTCTCTGTTCTTTGCCTTTGTTCATGACGTGGGCGCAGACAATTCTAGTTGCCTCTCTGTCAGCTCTGCTAAATTTGTGCTAAATGTAGGCTCTTATGTCTATTTTGCAAGTCTGGCGGTGCTTTTTGTGGTTGGCTTTGGATGATGGTGACATGTGGCTGAGAGTCACTCATCAGGATGAGAAATACTGTTGAAAAGCTGTGGGTAGCCCTACACTAAAATAATCAACTTCTCCTACATATTAATGAGAGACTGATATTTATGGAAGGAGGGAAAGATGTCTGCTGGCTGTGATTGGTTTTTCCTTGTCACATGACATGCGATGCGTGCTGCTGCGACACAAAAGTTTACCTCTGTTCATCTCAGGGTGCAGCTGTCCCACCCTGAAAATAGGTGCTTGGGAACGCATGAGTGCCACGACAGCATCGTTCTGGCATTTGACCATGCCTGCTGCACGTCTACATTGCTGTTGCTCTCCCTGCCTTTGGCTTTCCATGTTGGTGCATGGAAGGGCAGGGAGGTTTGCTCTCTCTGCCTCAGGCTTTCCTCATTTTTGCACGTGGAGGGCAGAGAGGTGTGCTCTCTCTGCCTTAAGGCTTTCCACGCATGCACGTAGAAGGGCGGAGAGGTGTGCTCTCTCCACCTTATGCTTTCCACGTAGTCGTGTGGAAGAGGCTTTCTGTATAGGCAAGGAAAGGCAGAGAAGTCCCAGAACAGAGCCATACCGCCAAATGTAAAACTGCAAATGGAAATAAAGTTTTCTTTGACTCAAGTGCTTCTGACTGAAATCTGCTTCATTATAACTCACAGCATTCACAAACAAAGCACTTGTCTTTATCTGGACACGTTTTCCTTACAAATACAACATGCTAATGTTATTAGCACAAGCCTATGGCATTTTACATTGTATAAATTAGCCTAGCGGCTACCAAAGTTTTCCTCTACTCATATGAAGCCAGGAACAAGAGCAACATTTAATAAAGGTAACGTCACAAAACAGCTCACAAGTTTCACTGTCAAAACAACTGTCTTATACTATAAACACATTTTCCAAAGAAATACAACATGCTAATGGTATTAGCACACATTACATTGTATAAAGTAGCCTAGCGCACGACTATTTTCTCTAGGCTACTCATATGAAGCTCGGATAAGACCTAAAATGCTATTTTGTGGAGGTTTTATTGTCTTTACAATTTATTGTGCCACCACCACACAATGGGCTGTAAAGAGGTTGTCATCATTTTTACCATGAGATCAAGTCAAGTCCATAGTGTGAGCTAAGCTCTAAAATACTGAATCCTTCATTTCCCATAATGCACAAAACAATTATTTTCTCCGTCACAGCTCCTCCAGAGCCACAGACATAGAGATCACTCAGCTGTTTTCACAGGCTGACACAGTACATCTCATGATGTGTAAACTGAAACTTTTTTGTGTAAAATTGGTGGGATTCCCCTTCAAAAATACCCTTTTTTGTTGGTAAACAAATTTAAATTATTATAATTTAAATCACACTGTTTTTCTATTGGGTTTTTTCCCAGACTGGACAACACAAGAAACAACTCCTGCAGTGCTTCACCCCACAGACTCCTCCTCTCCATCTGAGGGCACACAGCCCACACAGGACCCAGTCATCACAACCAAACTGGACACCAGCTGCTTTCATAATATCACTGTTGTGTATCCTGTCAGCAGCTTCTGCACACGCAGAGCTGATGGATTGTATGTAAGATCAGACAATCCAAAGACATTCTACAGATGTGTGCTGAGGAAGACATATGTCACAAAGTGCCACACCCTGGGAACAGAACACAGCAGTGGAGTGACAATAATCCCATCACAGAATTTAGTTCTAGTTAGCTTTGTAACAGCCACTCTGCTCCTTTTGTTTAGTGTGTGGACTCCAGGGGATTTTGCTTTGTACAGCCTTAGTGTACTGTAAATAAAGCTCCTGGTTTGCTATGAAAAAAAAACCTTTAAAGCTGGCAAACAGGACCAAATACTTCTTTGACTTTGGGTAAGTCAAAGAAGTATTTTTTATACAACCCAGAGTTCAGAGACATGTACACAGTAGCTGTCATGAATTGTCATGAGATTATCACTGAGAGCTGTGATTCATGTAGGCCAGGGATACTCTACTTGCTTTGCCTGGGGCCACCTCTGCAAAATGACAGGAGGCCAGGGGGCAGTCACAGCAACCCGCATAGGTCAAGCTTAGGCAGGGGCATTTCTAATATTTGAGGTCATTCAAGGTTTAGCCCAAACCTCTGTGGGAGGGTCCAGGGGGCTGATAAGCTAGCTCTATTGTGATGCTTTTTATGCACTCTCACTCACACCTTATTTACATTTACAGTACAAAAAAACTCCCAATGTGAATCAATTTATTTTCATTGTAAATCAGAAAATGGTTGGGAGGGGCCACCTGGCACCCTGGGCCCCAAGTTGAGTATCCCTGCTGTAGGCTATGTAATGATTAATTTATATAATCATCAACTTATTTATTTGATTAGGGCTATGTCATCTGTAACTTTGGGGGAACATTAAAGGCTTTATAAAGAGTTGCAAGCAGTGATGAGTCTGACTGGTAGAAAGACTTGATTTAGCTTTAACTTTGACTTTACTGCTGCTCTGTTGTTATGACAGTAACACCTCTAAATCATCATTGTAAAAATCCTTCAAGTCTGTTTGCTGTTCTCTCCCTCTTAAAGGTAAATCCTGCATAGTATACCTTCTACAGGATTTTACAATAACAGAACATTCATAGTGTTTACAGTTATATTTAGATATATTTTAAAATGCATTGGAGGGTTTTTGTGTTTTTTTTGGCAAATAAACTTAAGAGTAGCATAATGGTACAGTTAATATAATGCAGAGTAAACACAATAATGCTGTGTTCAGACTGCCTGGAAAAACGAAGAAAAGTAAATAATAAAATGGAATTAAAGTAAATAAAATGGTGGTTGGTGATGGAGGGTGAGGATGTAGTTTTCCTCTTGGTCCGGAGGTGAATCAGTTACACTTGCTGTGAGAGATACAAGAAGAAAAGGGTTGTAGGATACACCAGTTCACAGAGTGGCATGTGACAGGCCTTACCTCAAAAGGTCACCCAGGGGTGCCATAAAAATGATATGCAGAAAGGGATTAACCACCGCAATGTCTATTTCAGGCTCATGCATGTACATGTAATAAACACAAAAAAATGTGAAATACCAAAACACCGAAATATGTTTTAAAGGACAGCATGAGAGATCATCATCACAAATGCATCACAAAGTTATTAATCTGAACCTCACGGCTATTATCTGCTCCGCAAATCAATACATTAAGGTGAAAGATACAAGTGTTCAAAATGCATCAGCTTTTGGTGTCACCAAGTGATGAGGGTTTGAACAGTGTGTCTGTGTACTCGTTTCTCTGCTACCAGTGAGGAAGGTTCAGCAGAAAAGCTTCATTGCCCTCTTGTGGTGAAAACATGTAAAGTCCATCCAGCTCTATCAGTTGACCTCTCGAGAGCATTCTATGAATTCGATAAACAGCACTACAGTAAGTAGTTTTGATTTCAGGGTGAATTGTCCCAAAAGGGCTAATGTTCAGGAGAACTTCCTGCCATAATTAGAATACAACAATAAAATCACATGTCCATACTTGGCGTTGGCCTTCCTGGATCCAGGCAAGGACTGTAGATGAATGTGAGCCAGGTAAATGTGCATATTTCTCTCCAGCTATCTGTAAGGACAGATAGAGGATGCATAGACAAAATTACACCGAGATCCAGAGCAACAACACTGAAGGTGGGGTGACATCTTTTAATAAAGGTTATTTATTTACAATGCACAGAAATTCACATTTTACAAACACTGAACAAGATTGGAGTACAAAATATTTAGCTACTGTAAATGCACAGAAAACACTGGTCAAATACCACTGGCCTTTCCATAAGCAAGAACTCAATGTGCTCCATAAATAATGAAGGGAAAATGCATAGTATACAATACATGCTGCTTATTCTGCCCCTTCCTTACACATAAAGCACTGCATACAGGGATGAGGTCCAAAGGCTGGTGGGGTGGTGTGCAGACAACAACTTGGTTCTCAATACCTCAGAAACCAACGAAATAATCGTTGACTTCAGGAGGAGAAAGCCTGACCTGCAGCCCATCTGCATCAATGGGGAGGGTGTGGAGAGGGTGCCCAGCTTCAAGTTCCTGGGTGTGCACATGGATGCAGACTTCCAATGGAGCACTAACACCTCGGTGGTCGTGAAGAAGGCCCAGCAGCGTCTCCATTTCCTGAGGATCCTCAGGAGGATCAACCTGAGGAGGGAGCTGCTGACCGTCTTCTACTGCTGCTCCATTGAGAGTGTGCTGACATACTGTATCTCTGTGTGATTCTCCAGCTGCACCATGGTGCACAAGATGGCACTACAAAGGGTCATCAACACCACCCAGAAAATCACTGGCCACCCTCTACCCTCCCTGAAGGACCTCTACAGTACCCGCTGTCTCAAGAGGGCACGTAGCATCCTGAGAGAGTGCACGCACCCAGCACACGGGGTGTTTGAGCTGCTGAGAGGAGATTCAGGTCGCTGAAGTCATGGACAAATAGACTCAGGGATAGCTGTAATAGCAGGGCAATGGCACTAATCAGTACAAACCTGCCTTTTATTCTTCCACAATGGGTCATGTGCAATGAACAATATATTTATCACCAACAATAATCCATTTATCACTTGCACTTTAGATCACACTTAAGTGTATATTCTGTATATTTTGTATATATTGTATTGTATATATTGTTCTGCTCTTCATATATTTTATTTTATCTTGTTTTTTATATGCCTTCTCTTGCACCAAAGTGGACAGTATCCCAATTTCGTTGTGCTGTGGTACACAAGTATGACTGTACAATGACAATAAAGATTTATCTTATCTTCTTTAACTTTTAAAGTTGGGAGCCCAAAGAGTCTGTTTAATAATTTCACTCGTGTACTCCAACGACTGCCTCCAGGTTTGACCTCTTGAACTGTGATGATGATGTGGAACTGCAACCAGGAGTCTGACCCTGAGGAGATAAAAGATTCATCCTATAGACATGATATGAAAATACATTTGGTGACATTTGACCTGTGGAGGGTTTATGTACTGACAAGTGCCATTCAGGTTGGTTTCAGTTAGGCTATTTTTGGTGGTTTTTGCTGGTAATGGTATCCAGTTGGCTGACTCATATTATTTTTCCATTTCCATCTTTGCCAGCTTGTAAGGAAAGCAATCGAAGCCTCTAGCTGATATTAATGACGACGAGAAATAAATAAAATAATTTCTATTTTAGTGTGTATTTTCCCCCAACGTCATTACGCCACATGAAGCGCACAGAAAACGCCAAATGCTTTCTGGGAAATGGCGTTATATTTGAACGTACAGCCAGTTAACAAAAGGGTCTAACGAAACACAGTCTACTCCATTACCCACAATTCCTAAAGTCGTACTTCCTGGTTAGATTACACGTAGCGTCATCGCTGTGTTATAGAACTCCAGAGTAGGAAAATAGCTACAAACGACGACTTTTACTGACTTATTGTTTGTGTCTACGGTTGTTTGTCACTCGTGTTTATAGACTTGTTCATTAACTTTGATCATAATGAAGCCACAGAGGCACGTATCGATGTGTTTGGCCTCATATGTAGGCTAAGCTAAGATATCAAGCTAATATTGTCAAGACTAGTTAGCAAGTACTTGTGTTGTTTACATGTTTTTTCAAGATGTATACTTTATTATCTGGATTATATAAGTACATGTTCCAAAAGGACGAATACTGTATTTTGATCCTGGGCCTGGACAACGCTGGAAAAACGGTGAGTAAAGTTATAATATAAATTTATCACAGCTGGGTTATCGCTAACTCGTCCCGTCCACACAGAGTATGTCCACTGTGTTATTTTGTGTTGTGCTGATTCTTATAGAATTAAAATATAAAGGGATGTGCTGTGTTTTGACGACTTTGGTTACTTTACCGTCAATGCTCTCCTAAACTTTACAGTGGAATGTAGGGCTGGACGACAGACAGACAGACAGACAGACAGACAGATAGACAGATAGATAGATAGATAGATAGACAGACAGACAGACAGACAGACAGACAGGCCAAAACATTAAAACCAGTGAAAGATGAGGTGCACGACACTGATCATCTTGTTACAGTGGCTCTGTTGGGAAACCTTCGGCCGGCACCCCAGAGGTACCCCTGATTCATGTTGGGGCTTACTAGGATCAGTCATGGCTCTAATCTCTCGAGGTATGGACTCAGAACCTCTGGGGGATGTCCTGAGGTGTCTGGCACCCAGGTACTGGCGTGTCCCATGGATTCTGGATCAGATTGGGATCCAGGGAATTTGGAGGCCGGGTTGACACCTTGAGGGCTTTATCACGGTCCTTGGGTCATTCCTGAGCAGTTTCTGCAGTGTGGCATGCTGCATTGTCTTGCTAGGAGTACACTGCCATCTGAGGGTGCCATTGAAATGAGGGGGTGTACTTGGTTGGCAACAGTGTTTGGGTGGATGTAGCATGTCAAGTGGCATCCACATTATTATTAGGACCAAAGGTTTTTCAGCAAAACATTGCATTGTAACAAGACGATCAATGTTATTTACTCTACCCTCCAGGTGTGTGTGTGTGTGTATATATATATATATATATATATATATATATATATACAGTACAGGCAAAAAGTTTGGACACACCTTCTCATTCAATGCGTTTTCTTTATTTTCATGACTATTTACATTGTAGATTCTCACTGAAGGCATCAAAACTATGAATGAACACATGTGGAGTTATGTACTTAACAAAAAAAGGTGAAATAACTGAAAACATGTTTTATATTCTAGTTTCTTCAAAATAGCCACCCTTTGCTCTGATTACTGCTTTGCACACTCTTGGCATTCTCTCCATGAGCTTCAAGAGGTAGTCACCTGAAATGGTTTCCACTTCACAGGTGTGCCTTGTCAGGGTTAATTAGTGGAATTTCTTGCTTTATCAATGGGGTTGGGACCATCAGTTGTGTTGTGCAGAAGTCAGGTTAATACACAGCCGACAGCCCTATTGGACAACTGTTAAAATTCATATTATGGCAAGAACCAATCAGCTAACTAAAGAAAAACGAGTGGCCATCATTACTTTAAGAAATGAAGGTCAGTCAGTCCAGAAAATTGCAAAAACTTTAAATGTGTCCCCAAGTGGAGTCGCAAAAACCATCAAGCGCTACAACGAAACTGGCACACATGAGGACCGACCCAGGAAAGGAAGACCAAGAGTCACCTCTGCTTCTGAGGATAAGTTCATCCGAGTCACCAGCCTCAGAAATCGCAAGT